GGTCTTGCTCTTGCTCAGGCTGGTCTCGAACTCCTGAGCTCAAATGATCCACCCGCCTGAGCCTCCCAGAGTGCTAAGATTACAGGAGTGAGCCACCGTGCCCGGCCAGTCTCTGATTATTTTAATGGTCACTGTTTTTATTTACTTATCCCAAAAATATAAGAATCCTACTGTGATGAAAACAATTAAATTCTTTGACATTTACATATTTCTTAGTCCTAGTATATACATAACCTTGATTTCTATTTAATTTGAATGAATACTAGGCAGGCAGAAATTTCAGAAAAGCTGGTTTTTTTAGGTCTTCTTTTTTTTTTTTTGGTAAGCTCAGTATTTTAAAAGCTAAAGTTGTCATTTTCAAAGAACACAGAGAATAATGATTTATAGAAATAAAAGTGTGATAAATCCAAGAATTAGAAGAAACTCAGAAATCATGGCCTAAATCATTTAAAGCAAAAATTCCACAATTAGCTCTACTACAATCTAAACTCAATATAAGCAAAGTGCTTATTATAGGCCAAGGTAAATGTTCCTTTGTTGATCCAAAAGCATAGCAGTCATAAGGGATTAAACATTATAACTACTAACAATCATTCACTTTTCAGAGATTTTTAAAAAAATTTTTTTAAATTACATCTGATATACTAGAGAAATAGGACCGTTTTATGTAAGATGAAATTAAAAAAAATTTCAGTACACAAAACATAAAATAGATTTTTACTCATGGATCTTTTGGAGACATAAATAACATTTTCCCTAATACTAGTGAGAAAAAAGTATACACAATTATGTTTACTATAAAAATTCTTCTGATGTCTAAATTAATCCATGACACTTTATATAGTATATGGATATGCAAATTAATAAGTAAATATGATGTGACCACAGAAATCAATTTTGTTCACTGTTTTGCAGAAAGTTATATAAATGAAACAATAAAAAATAAACCAAAGAAATAAAAGACCATTATTTGTTTCATTTTCAAACTATAAATTATTCAACTATCTAACCTTCCATGACAAATCATGATTGTTTTTTGTAATAGCAGTTTCACCTATATGATTTTGGAATATAACAAAAAATTCACACTGTTTCAAGTTACATAAGTTTATTATTGTTGTTAAAATAAATTTGACAAAAATATCTTTTAAATGCTAAATAAATATAAAACATTGAATAGCTATTACTATTCTTTTTCTTTTTTTTTTTTACACAAGGGAATTACATTATAGCTCAGAAAATTTACAGAGATCATTCAAAAAACATTTTGCTAATAAGCATAAAATTTAAAACAAAACTCATGAACATTAAAAATTATATTTAATTCTAAAAAACAAGCTGTGTAATACAAAGATACAAAATATATAAAAGCAAATCTATACTATAATATAATATGCAGTATGCCCTATTTTGGATATAATATACATTTTTTTCTGTGCTTAAATAATGCAATTATTTTGCTTTATGAAGCTGTATAGAAAAACATTTTAAAAGGAAGTATTTTACCTCCCTAAAAATGGACATATGGGCATTATGGTACCAGTCATGCAAAACATTCAAGTAAAATGATAGAGAACAAATGAATTTTAACAGTTTAGGTCTGACTAATCATCATCATCATCATCACTACTGCTACTGTGAGTCATATTCCACTCCCTGTAGAACTGAATTTTCTGTAAGCATGGTAAAGGAAAAAAGAAGCAAAAAGGTTAGTTATATATGGCAAATTGCTTGGAAAACATGTAAAACTATGAAGTGTTCAAGGAGTCAGAATTTTACAGCAGATTTTCAGCTGTGACTCAGGCTGTAATTATGGATATAATATTCCATAACTTAATAGACCTAAGACTCAATTCCATTTTGGAATTTGGTTGGTAGAAACTCAATGTATAAAATAGTTTGATGATACCAATAAAGTACTCTATGAATACATGAAAATTATCATTCAATTTCTTTAGTAGGCAACTTTGACTAGTAGGAAGTGCTATAATAATGTGCTACATACTAGGTAGAAAGGTACTCAATGAAAGAATGTATTTTGTATTTAATTATTACATATAGGTGTATATAATTTAGTGAACATACCACCCTTTTTTAGAAAAAAAGAAAAGGAGAAACATTTGAAAATATCAAACATTTTCTAAGGCACCATCATTAAATCACTCAGATGGAATACAGGCACATGAGATTTTAAATTCATTTTACATATCATCTAATTATTTTCCATAGTACTAGTATTCACATACTTTAAAAAGTTTGCTAATAATACACTAGAAATTTGATTCAAAAAACACCACTACAACCAAAACAACCACCCACTTTTTACATCTATAGGAAAATAATGTTAACTGCAAACATCCCAAGGCATCTGGCAAATTCCTACAGGTATTCCAGCTAATACTGTGTAAATATTCTTGCTGAATTAATGATTGACAGGTATTGTGGCTGATAAGAATTGTAGGTTTTTAGCCATTTAAATAGCTCTTTTAGCAATTAATGCTAAGACTAGCCTACTAAATATGCATCCTTAAAAATATATAGTTAAAAGTCATACCTTTAAATACAAAAGTTTAAAGCTTCAGAAAACAATTAATGAAGGTATAGAATAAATGTACTTATTGCTGAAATCAAATTATCAAATATGAGATATTACTGATATCTCATGGCTTCCTTGTATATTAAAATCTGCTCACTAATAATGAGGATATATTTCTAAACTCTCCTCACTACTCATCCTTACTTTCTAATATTTTTTTTTAGATTAGTTTCTCAAGAAATATTTTTAGGTTTTAAAAATGTGATTTGAAAACTACTCAACTTTCAGTTTAGTAAAATGTTAGTACCATATTAATTGTGCTCTAATTAGGGAAAGCAGGTATTGGGTAGAAATACATGTTTTGATTAGATCAGCCTCAGGTGACTTCCGCAATTTTTCTATCTTCCAAAGAACAATGTAACACTGTTACTGTAGAGATTGCACAATATGTCCTTCAGAACACAAGCTCACAACAGATTGCCAGTTCTATCCTAATACAGAATTATTCTGATGCTTTAAAAACATTTAAAATGCCATATAAAATCACTATATATTGCACATTAACTTTATGGTTACTTTTTAATATATCAGAAGGCTCTTTGATTTTCAAGTATATTTTATGCAATATTATATACTCTGCATGCAGTAGGTAAAATATTAGTTTTAAATCTTTACCCTGATCACTTTAAACATGACAACATTTAAAATATCAAAAAGTATAAAGGAAGTTCCACAGTTTGAGAGTCAATTATTACCATGAATATCTTTAAGTTTATATAATATAATGACTTCTTGTTTGTTTTTAAACAAGCGATTTAATTTAGTATTCCACATCTAAATCACAGAAAAGACTTTGGTATAGCTTGGTATATAAAAGACTTTGGTATATAAAAGACACTGGTATAGCTTATGTGTGATTACTATGTTACCTACACCATAATACAGATTTTAAAAAGTCTAAATAGATAAAATATTCTACCGTCAAATTGTCCATTGTCCCAAAAGGTAATTTTCTTTATTAAAAGATACTGGTTTGCATGTGAACTGCTTATAAAATCTTACAGGGTTTTATACAAACTACACTAGAATAAAGCAGGAAGAGGGCTATGGCCATTTGAGCATTTTTAAAAGCAAAGCATAAGAATCCGAGAGTAACTGGCAATAGCAGTGTTTCTGAGTTTTGTTTTTCCTTCATCACGCCTAATTGGATATGAGGATTGTATCTGGTATAAAAGGTACTAGTGGTTTGATAAACAGAAGGAAGTACCCCACACAGAAATGGTCTAATTGGCTAAATAAGCACCACCAACTATGAGGGCATATAAGGCACATTGGCTTTCAACAAATTCGGCAAATCCAATGTAGAACTAAGAATACCCTATAAAAAGATCAGATTCACTAAAATTCGTATTAAAAGTTACCAATACAAAAGCTTTTCTTTGTACTCAAAATACTGAAACAGCAGTACGTAGTTTGTAAATTTTTAGACTAAAATCTATTGTTGGTTTTCACTTGCAAAGTCATGCATTAACTTTTTTCATATCAAACTTTTTGATGCCTGTAAGAAAGAAAAAGAAATCTTATAGTAAATAAATGTACATTAAAACCTAAGTAAATATAAGAAACTTATAAATAGAATTAAGCAAAACATATAAAAGCCCAAATATTCCAACATATAGTTAAAGAATTAAATTGCTCCTTTAAAAAAATCTAATTTGACTTATCTTAATTTATAAGAGATTTCTTCACTTACCTGTAACATTTGATTTCCAGTACCATCCCTCAACCTGTAAGGTCTGATAACCCCATCTTCATTAAAGAACCGAGGAGGTCGCAAACTCTCTACTTCAGAAGTCTCTGTAGCTCTAGAGGAAGAAAATATAACATAATTTTAAAAATTACTCAAAAACTCATAAATACACTATAAAATACAATTACTAAAAATCATCCTTCAGATAAAATATTACATCACTTTTCTAATTTTAAATTTGTTTTTATGACATAAACAATGTATGTTCTCTAGAAAAATATTAGAAGTATAAAGAAGTTTGTTAATAGATTTTGTAAGACTTTGAGATAATAATTAGAGAATTAGCAAGTGTTGCTTTTTCTGTGTTATCTAGTTCCTCCAGTACAGTGCTAGAAACAAAAGGGGACTGCAGTCTTCCTTGTCTCATTCATGGCTATAGGGAAAGGTTAAGAGTTCTCCATGAAGTTTATTAGCAATATATTATACACTGTAGTATATATTAGCAATTTTTTTTCGTTTTGTAAAGGCATCCTTTATCAAGCCAAGAAGGTTCATTTCTACTTTTAGTTTGTCAACAGTTCTTTTCTTGTTATAGTCTTTGAAAATCTTAAACATGTGATGAATTTTAAATAAGTATTTTTTTTTTCTGGTCATTGTAGTGCTCATATGGTTTATCTTTTTCAATTTATCAATGTTGTAAATCATATTACATGGTTTTCTAATGTTCATATACTCTCACATTTTTCACATTCCACTTTGGCTTGATGCGTTCTATTTTAAACACATACACGTGCTGCTGAATTTGGTATGGTAATATTTTACTTAACATTTTTGTCTGTATAGTAGTGAGAATGTTTCACTTATTCATTCGCTCAACAAATATCACACATTCAATAAATATTTATTAAGAGAATATCACATAACGTACCCATATGTATAGGCACAAATATATGGATAAATCCTCCAATTAAGAGCAGAATGGGGCTCCTGATGGGCTGGCGGAACCACCCTGGGGTACAATGCTCTGCCAGGGACCCCCAGCCTTGAGCTGCCATTACAGCTGGACCTTGTTTGAGCAAACGCCCAAAGCCAGGTCACCCATGACCACTGCCTATATACCCTCACCCAGCTACCACTGTCATCTCTGTGGGGAGACTCCAGGCAGAGCAATCCCCCACAATGCTAGCCTCCATGGAGAGAGTCTCACCTAGCCCCTAACTCGAATTTCCAACAACGATCTGGAGAACAACCCACCACCTTGCATGAGGATCATCCAGCACCGGCTTGAACTGTGGCAATCACAGGGGAATGGGACAAACCAAACAGCTATACTATAGGCTCTCAGTGCACCTGCCCCTCCCCTGCCAGGTCAACATTCCAGAGTAAGACACAAAAGCACCACCTAGAGACCTCCCCTTCTTTTAACTAAGCAGGAGAGTTCCCAGCAAAGGAGAATAGATGCCCTGCAAACCTATTAGCCCTGAGCTGGGAGAATAGGATTCAGATGACAAGAAACCAGCAAAGAACCCTGGCAACATGAAAAAACATAACAGTCTGATATTCCCAAGGGGTCACGTGGAGATACAGTAGTGGACTCCAACCATAAGGAAATTGTTGAAACGACAGAAATAGAATTCAATATATGGAGGGCAAATAAGATGAATGGAATTGAAGAGCAAGTTGAAAACCAACAAACACAAGCTAAAAGAGTATTCTAGGAAATCAACAAAAAAACAGAAAAGTTGCTAAGGAGGTAGACAACATATGAAAGGATACACTAGAACTTAAAGAAATGAAAGAATCATATAGGGAATTTCAAAACACACCAGAAAGCTTAACAACAGACTAAACCAAGAAGAATCTCAGAACTTGAAGACAAGCCTCTACAGCTAACCAAGTCACTGAAAGAGGCAGAAAAGAGAATAAAAAAGACTGAGCAATCACTTAGAGAAATATGGGATTATGCAAAGTAAACTAATATAAAAATTATAGGTATAACTGAGAGAGAAGAAAAAAGAGCAAAAAGCATGGAAAACCTATTTGAGCGAATTATTGAGGAAAATTTTCCTCTATTGCCAGAGATTTAGACATCTGGATACAAGATGGTCATCAAACACCAGGAAGATTCGTAGCAAACAGGACATCTCTAAGACATAGAGTCATCAAGCTGGTCAAAGTCAAAATGAGGGATGTACAAGCAGCAAGTAGAAAGCAAAAACTAACCTACAAAGGAAAACCCATTGGACTAACTGCAGACTTCACAGTGGAGACCTTATAAGCCAGAAGAGATGGGGGACCCATGTTCAGACTTCTTAAACAGAACAACTACCAGCCTAGAATTTTGTATCCTGCAAAATGAGGTTTCATAATTGGCAGAGAAATAAAGATTTTTCAAGACAAGCAAACACTGAGAGGGAAATTGTCACGACCAGACCTGCCCTATAAGAAATACTCAGAACTGCATTATACATGGATCAGCACAATAGATACTCACCAGTGTAAAATTATCCAAAAGCTGAAGGTCAAAGCCCAGATACCACAATGGATCAAGAAGTAAAACAGAGCAACAAAGTTCTATTCAACAGGAAGAACAGAAATCCATCCCACTTATCAATTCTTTCAATAAACGTGAATGGCTTGACTTCCCCACTCAAAGAGGCATAGGCTAAATGGATTAAAAAAAAAAAAAAACAAAAAAAACCCAAAAACCTACTATCTGCTATCTCCAGAAAACGCATCTTACACACAAGGACTCATTCAGACTCAAGGTGAAGGAATGAAAAAAAATATTCCATGCAAATGGAAACCAAAACAGAGAACAGGTGGAGCCATTCTCATATCAGATAAAACTGACCTTAAATCAACAATGGTAAAGAAAGACAAAGATGGTCATTATATAATGGTAAAGGAAAAAATTCAACAAGAATACATAATAATCCTAAATATACATGAACTTAACACAGGAGCTCCCAGATTCATAGAGCAAATTCTACTAGATCAAAGCAAAGAGATAAATAGTAGCATTATAATTGATGGGGACTTCAATACCCCACTGTCAGAGCTGGACAGATCACTGAAGCAGAAAATAAATTTAAAAAACACTGGACTTAAATGTGACTCTAGAACAAATGAAACTAACAGACATGTACAGAACATTCTATCTCAAAACTACTGAATATACACTCTTCTTATCAGCACATGCAATTCTCTATGATTGATCATATCTTAGGCCACGAAACATGTCTTAACAAATTCTACAAAATCAAAATCATACCATATACTTTTTCTCAGACCACAGTGGAATAAAACTAGAAATCAGTTCCAAGAGAAACACTCAAATCTACACAAAGTCATGGAAATAAAAGAATCTGCTGCTGAATGATTATTGGGTCAATAATGATATTAAGATGGAAATCAAAAGATTCCTTGAACTAAATGACAAAGGGGACACAAGCTATCAAAATCTATAAGATTAAGCAAAAGCAGTCCTAAGGGGAAAATTCATAGCCTTAAATGCCTACATCAAAAAGACAGAAAGATCACAAATTCACGACCTAATGTCACATCTCAAGGAACTAGAAAAGGAAGAGCAAACCAAACCCAAAGCCAGCAGAGAAAAAGAAATAACAAAGGTCAGAGAGCAGAACTAAACAAAATGGAAAACAACAACAACAAAAAAATATAAAGAATCAATTAAACAAAAAGTTGGTTCTTTGAGAAGATAAACAAAATTAATTGACCCATTTCTAGATTAATGAGGAATAGAAGAGAAAGGACCTGAATAAGCTGAATTAGAAATGAAAAAGGAGATGTTATAACTGATACCAAAGAAATACGAAATATCCATGAATACTATAAAAATTGCTACGTGCATAAACTAGAAAATATAGATGAAATGGACAAATTCCTGGAAACATACAACATCCCCAGATCCAACCAGGAAGAAATAGAACTATTGAGCAGACCAATAAGGAGCAATGAAATCAAAGCAGTAATAAAAAATCTCCCAATAAAAACAACAAAACACCCCAGATCAGATACATTCAAATAGATTCATAGCCAAATTCTACCAGACTTACAAAGAAGAGCTAGTACTCATATTACAAAAATTATTCCATAACATTGAGAAGGAGGGAACTCTCCCCAACTCATTCTATGAAGCCAGTATCACCTTGTTACCAAACCAGGAAAGGACACAACAAAAAAAGAAAACTCCAGACCAATATGCCTTATGAATTTAGATGCAAAAATCCTCAACAAAACACTAGCAAACTGAATTCCACACCACATCAAAAAATAATGACCAAGTGGGCACCATTCCAGGAATGCAAGGATGGTTCCACATACATAAATCAATAAATGTGATCAACCAAATAAGCAGAAGCAAAAACAAAGACATCTCAATAGACACAGAAAAAGCATTCAACAAAATCCAGCATCCTGTCATGATAAAACACCCTCAAAAAACTAGGCAAAAGGCCATATATAACAAATCCACAGCAAACATGGACTGAATGGGGAAAAGTTGAAAGCCTTCCCCCTAAGAACTGCAACAAGACAAGGGTGCCCACTGTCACCACTTCTATTCAACATAGTACTGAAGTCCTAGACAGAGCAATCAGGCAAGAGAAAGAAATAAAGGGTATCCAAATTGGGAAAGAGGAGGTCAAACCATTGCTTTTCACTGATGATATGATCTTAAATATAGAAAATCCCAAACACTCCAGTAAAAGACTCCCGGCATTGATAAATAAATTCAGCAAAGTCTCAGATTACAAAATCAATGTATACAAACCAAGCTGAGAGTCAATACCATTCATAATAGCTACAAAGAAAATAAAATACTTGGGAATATATTTAACCAAGGAGGTGAAAAATCACTACAAGAGAACTAGGAAACACTGATGAAAGAAATTGCAGATGACACAAACAAATGGAAAAACATGTCATGCTGGTAGACTGGTAGAATCAACATCATTAAAATGCTCATACTGCCCAAAGGGATTTACAGATTCAATGCAATCCCCATCAAAATACCAATGTCATATTTCACAGACCTAGGAAAAATAATTCTATGCTTTGTTTAGAATAAGAAAAGAGCCTGACTAGCCAAAG